CACCTCAAGAAAGCTATTTCATACAGTCAGATTATTGCCCTGGGAAGGCTCACAAACTTTCAGACAGAGTTAATAAAATACAAAAAAAAAAAAGGATTTACTCACTGGTGGTCTAAGTGTTAAGGATTATTTACAATTTTTTCTACAGAGAAAAGTGAATGTAAGCCTTGGTTATAAAGCAATACAATCAGATCGAAAAGAATCAGAATATACAAGGAATCAGTATAAGAAATAATAACTTCAGACAGACTTTTTAAAATTATGTGGTGTGTTTTAACTAAAAATAAAAATCTAATTCTGAGATTGCTTAGTATATCCACATGAAAGCTAAATATCATACCTCTGTATGCAAAGCATATGGCATATAGCCCATTAATGTATTTTTCAATGATGGTGATTTAGTAAAACACTCTCCTTGCTATTTCGGACATTGCATATTATCCAAAGATTTCAATATGTTGGCATTCTAGACCTTGTCAGATGCAACAAAATTCATGGGACATCCTCCAATCATTTAAGTCTAGTTTACAAGACAGTTACAGAAATCCATGTTTATTTTGGGTTACGTGATTCTATGATAGAAGTCAATGTAACTATGCATATTTAAAGATTCAGAAGAGATCACAGGCTAGGTCTAACAGATCAAACACATGAAGCAGTTCAAACACATTCATGTTTTTCTGTTCAGTGCTCTCCTTCACCTGCAAGATGCAAACTGATGAACTTATGATAGTTCCAGGGGCAGCTACAGTAGAGAACGCAGGACAGTTTCCAACTCTCTCATTGTTTTCAAATTACTACAGAAGTTTAAAACATGATGACTGAATATTTCCTGTAATTATTCAGAAATCACTGTTAAGAGTTCCAACAGCATTGATTTTTTTTTAAATGTTATGACTGTGATTATTAGGTCATTTTGCAAATCTGCTAACCTTGCGCTTTCTGCCATAGGTACTAGGTCAATTGCAATGGGACTGGGGAAACGAGCCACAAATTGAGTCTCTGTACAGAGCTCCAGAAGCCAGCACTGAAAATCTGCTAGTGAAGCAAGAGACACAGAGATAACTAAACAGAGAACAGACTCCCAGACTCCTTAGCTCAAGTCAGATATACAAGAAAAGGGTACTTCAATTGGACCCCAAACTATCAGATTCGCATTAAAAGGAGGGTATGTTTTTATTCACATTTATATGAAAAAGTTCAATGTTTGTAGAATTAATTTTCCTGTAGGAGGAATTTTGCCTCTCTCTTTGAGTTATACAAAGTACCAGGCAATAGGATGTCTAGTCCTATACAGTCTGTTTTAGTAATGTTTCAACATTGTATTAGGCTTCTGGATTGAGATTTCCATACAGAGGATGTACCTGTGATGCACTTCTGTCCTAAGCCACCTAACTAGATGATTAGTGCTGGGACAGACAATATCAGATTTCATATTATTAGGATGTCAACATGATTACTATTTTCTAAGAATACTGGGCAGCAATTGTCTCCTAGTTCTCTACTTCACCTTTCGCAAGTTGAAAGAACTTGTGAAAAGGCACAAAAACAGAATAATATTACACACTTGACTGCTGTGCAGCACCGTTGTTGTCTAAGTACTTAATTTCAGTAATCATCATAACATACCATTTTGGTATCAAGTTCAAACTGAGGGACGACATCAAAAGCTGCCTTCACAATTTTGTATTTTAATTGGTCATACATCCTACTCGTAGCAGTGTAATGAAGCCTTTTCTTGAAAGCAACTGGTAACAGTTACAGTCTGTAACTATATGCCCTAGAATTTGGGGTACATTGAATTCTCCAAACTCTCTATCAGGTGCCAGTGTCTCGAGTAAACTCAGATGGTCCAAACACTCATTTTGTTTGTCTGGTGCTTGAATTTGCATGAATGTAGCTATGTTAGCTCCTGACTAATGACTAATGATCTCCAAAGGCAGACTCTTCATCAAAATGAAAATCTCAAATACAAAAACGTTAATGGTCATTGGTCAGCGCAGTGGAGCTCGTTGTCTCCTGAACAACGGGCTTGTGTAGTTCATTTCACCACAATAACACAACAAACTACTAATGTACTCTTTCTTCTCTGGCCAATGTTGCAGGGGTTTTGCCCATCAGAAAACGTCAGGAGAAAGCAGTCATGCCAGCGCCAGCTGCCATGCCAAGAACACCAGTCATTACAAGTGTCACTAACGCCACCGTCTCCATTCTTCTTTTTTCCCACCTGGAACTGACTGCAAAGCCAAAAGACCTGCTGCAGAGTTAATGAGCACTATTAAATTTGCTCTAATCTTAAGAACAAAAGAACTCATACAGGGCTAACTACAGCCGGACGAAAAAAAAAAATCTGCTGCCTGACTGAAGTGAAAGGTAAAAAATGTACTAGTTCTCAGGAAAGCAAGAGTGGGAGTAAAGGCACCAGCACAGGCGCTTAAGCCCACTAACAAAAAGTATAATTCTCAATACCAGGACTCAACTTCTTTTCTAAAATCTCTCTTGACTGGCTAACTAGTAAACAGAAGATAAAATGGAAATAATTCTTTGCCAAATATGCACAGCTGTAGGTCCACCTCTGATGATTCATCAGCAGCTCTAGGCATCTGCCAATTTTTTCTTTTTAATTTTAATTTAGGATGGATTTACAAGTAGAAGAGATTGCAGTCTACTAGGGAAAAGGAGCCCACAGCACATAAGGAAAGCAGCACACAAGACAATAGTAACTATTTCAGTGCATAGATGCTTGCTTGGATGTCACAGCTTGCATTTACAATGACTAATCAGCAAATCTGAATATGATACTCAGTATAGAAGTGGTAAATTAGCTATGGCTGAGTACTTCAAATTATGTTTCTCAAAATATAGAACATTTTATAATCCATACCAACTTCCTCAGCTAAAAATAAAACTGAAATTAATTCTGCATCTATCTAAGATTTTCACCAATTTGAGTGAAATTGTGTGGTGCGTAAACAGGTGGAGAATTTGGTCCAAAGTATTTCCTCATGCTAGGAGCCAATCTTGTCTGCTCCTCACAGGGCTCTTATTTCCCTTCCTTCGCCATACAGGGAGTAAAACTATACATGGTCAAGATCATAGAGTTTCTTTTGGAAGAGTTAATGTATCCAAACTACAAAGTTACTGAATTTGTATCACACTAACAAAAAGACTTTTTCTTGAAGTCACTTGTGAGAGTATTCCAAATAATCAAGAAAAGCCCTATTCCATCCACTATTAACAGTTTCTATGACCGCAAAACTGGGGACAAAACCTGTTTGTAAAACTTGCAGAAACATTTCAATTCACAGATTTTCTACTGTCAGTGGAAAAAAGAGAAAAGAGATAATCCATTTCTTTGAATAATGAAACAGTGTTTCATTTAATGTTCTATTTGTTTCAATTTTTGTTTTTGACGTAACCTTGAGACATGTATCACATTAAAATATTAATTTAAATATATTTACTTATTATGGCAACAACGTACTAAATGACTTACTATATTACACTCTTCTGACATTTTAAAAAAAACATTTAAATGGTCCCAAATGGATTTATTTTTTTTTTAAGGCCTATTTCACGTAAAATATAGTCTTTTCATCTTGAGAATAGAAACGAATTTTGAAATACTGTATCTGTGGAAGAGACAATTTTTTCTGACCTTCACATTAATACTTCAGTGCTTTAAGGAACAGTTTAAAAAAATTGCACTATATGTAAAGTGTCAAATGATGTAATATGAAATCTGAATAACCAAGTAAATTAGCAGTTTCAATATACTCAGAAGTCTTAGGGAATTTCAGCTAAGAGGTTTAAATTTTAGTTGCTTTAATTCATTCGAAGCATGGTTCTGCTTATCAAGTTTTCAAGTTAGAAAATATTCACTATTTTTCCCATAAATTCTATAAATGAATGCTTGATGCTTTTTCAAAATAATAATTGAAAAAGTATTTATTTAAAAAGTTTAAAGAGTAACTAAAAAGGAACATGAGAAACTTAGCATTGCTTTTAAATAAACACGTTACTGAAACGTGTTCCTTTCAACAGTATGCCACTACCATACGTACCTGAAAACTAGTACTACAGTCTTGTCTCGTGCAATTAACACCCCATCTTACGTAACCATATGAAAATATCTCCTAGTTTCCCTTGACTTCTAAACCTGAACTTTAAAGAAGAAAGATATCTATTGGACAGGGGATTTTTGCTGCTGGCCAACAAGATGGAACGAGCTTAAATGCATCTCATTTCATGACTAAGCCTGACTCCTAGTATTTCGCTAATCCAAAAACTATCATGTACTCCTTGTACCTGGAAAGTGAGAAAAGGTGAATAGCCTCAGAAAGGGATTTGCTAAATTCACAGAAGAACCCTTCTCATTCATCACCTGCCGACAGCAGGCAACGAAACAAAGGCTTTGGGTAAATAAAGAATCATATAATGATATCACTGAAGACTGTATCAAAATCAAAAGCTACCACTTACTGAAAGTTACACTTCATCTTGCCCTCATTTTTTAGCGCTCTCTCCTTTGAAATTCACTCCAGTAATGGTAACTCATGATGCTGATGAATGATCATTACTCATGAAAAAGTAGTAATATGTACACAGCAACAAATGGAAACGCTTGTACATGTCTAACCAATGCTATATTTTCAACAGAACAAATGAGAAATAAAGCACTAAATAAATTCTAAAAATAGTTACTTAGGCATGAAAATTTCCTATAGACATGGTAGCGGTATTTATACCTACTACTTTTCAATTAAGAAAATTTGTTACATAACGATATTCAAAGGACTCTCTAATGCACAGTATGAGGCATAAGAAATTGCTATAAAGTGAAATATTTCATTACATTAATTATTGACCATGTTGGTTTTATCTTGGTTAAACTTTTACAAAGTTTTTTTTGTAAAGGAACTTTCAATATTAGCATTCACTACTTAGGCACGGAACAACATGGCAGAAAGTGTGTCTCTGATGACAAAGAAGTTACTTACAGGTAATAAGTGTAGGAGTGATAGCTTCTTCTGCCATGATGGTGGAAGGATTAGGCAGTGGTGGAAAAGATGAAATGGAAGGAAAGAAAAGCCAAATATTAATGTATGAAAAATCAAGATGAAACTGAGACCAGAACTGGTGACAAAAATGAAAGGTAGCAAGAATGCACATCTGAGCATAACATGCAACGTGTCTGGAACTGACAGATGACATATTCGATCTCCATAAAACTTTAAGAAATACAATACATAATGCATCTCCAACTGCTAAATCAAACCACCTTAAAGTACATCTACTATCTAAGTAATGTTAGATATTTAATGTATATTTATCTCTGCATATACTACACACACAAACACTCCCAATTGAAGTGATAAACCACCTCTGATTACACCTTAACTGCATCAGGAATAAGGATACGGAACTTCTAACATGGTGCTAGAAGCTTCACATTGCAGAATTTTATAACATGTATTAAGTACCTTCTCTTCCTGTTACAGTGCTGTAGAATCTTTGGATATCCCTTTCTTTACTTAAAGAAGTCACTTCTGCCATTGACAGGACTAGAAGTTGTTTCCAGAAGGGAAAAATCAATGGCCACAGCTTTTTTAGTATCACAGCTTTTTTAATAGCCATTTAAATTCTGAAGAAAAAATTACTTCTTGCCACACAAATAAAAAGGCTATCCTTGCTGGCTAAAATTATTTTATTGGTATTTCTCTCTGTGGTAAAGGAAAAAATAAGAACTGACCCTGTGTCCATTATTTCTGCCGACGTGAATGTCACAAAGAACAAGTTGGAGACATAATACCACCATCCTGAGAAACATGGAACCAGTCAGACTGTCCTGCATCACCTCTTGCACAGTCAGACCCTCCACCCAGACATGCTCTGCGTAAGCACAAAGTATAGAAGTCCTCCAGCTATGCTCTTCTCTTTACATCTCCCACTCCCTCAGTTAAGAGCCCACTGCAAGCAGGAATGCAACTCTCCAAAAGGGGCAAGTTCCAATCTAAATTAATTCCATATATTGACTGCAATTAAAAAGAGGCTGAAGATCTTAAAACATCTCTCAGCATAACATCAAGTAGCATTCACATGTTGGTAAGATAAAAGACTGAAAGGAACCGTGTAGGCATTTGTAATTTTTGCAACACATGCATACAGCCCTTTGACTACAGAGGAAACATGTAAACAGGCCTTGCAAAGGACTATAACTAACATTAACTTGCCTCTAGCTACATGCTTCAGGCATCCCTTTGAAAACTAGGCTTTCATCAAATTTTCCCTCTCATCTTCTTCGTGTGAAGATGCCGTTAGAAATATTTCCCAGTTTTTATTCCCATTTTTCTGATCCAAACAGTATTGTTCAAACACAAGAGGCTAGATACTGAATATTTAATCACGTGGCACATCTGCAAAAATGCACACCTGTTAAAGTTGAGTTTCAAAAGATATCTAAGAATAAAGTAAGGGGAAAGCTGTGAAACAGTTACATGCTTCTTCCACCAGCACATATCCCATTGCCTTGACTACGGAGCACAAGATCAGGTCCTATCAAAGTAGATCAACTTACTTGCTCTATTAGCAAGGGGATGTTTTCTGGTTCAGTCAAAATTATATCTCCCCCTGCCCTTCTTTTCAGAATTACTCGTTCTCTCACTTTCATTTAGAATCTCATGACGCTGCCAACCCTGTTTCTTGCCATATGTTGCCACACAGAGATTTAATGTAATTAGTACAAATGTTCTCATACTTCTAAAAGATGTATAATAATTTGAGAAACAACAATAAATACTATTAATCAGTGAAGCACTGCTGGTACTTATATGCAGAATTCTGCCAAATACATTATAGAGATAAATTATTTCTTATGAAAAAAAAGCTGAAAATCCAGGAGCTTTAATTTGTGTAAATGTACCATTAAAAATTTGCATAAAATGAGCAAAATTAAAAGTCTCAAGCTTTAGTTATTTTTATACTGCTATAGTTGTGAGATTTTCCATACGGAAGTCCTTGAAAAAGAGCACTGTGGGTTTTGACTCTCAAGAATATCAGACACTGAAAAAAAAAGGTAAAAAGAATAAATTAAAAACCTACAAATACCAGAAAGTTTTAGACTTGCAAGTTCTTAGGCCACATGCAAAAGCATCATTCATACTTGAAAAGATTTAGCTTTTTTAAGAACTATGGACAAGTTCCACTTTACTTCCTACCTAATGTATACAAACTTACTCTCTCTTTATGTATGAAAAGTACTTTTCTGTTAAAGAGATTGACTCAAAGATTTTGGCCAACCTTGGTCAAATTTTCGTCTGTGCATGGCTCTTCAGCCACTTCCCACTAGAAAGGTTATTTTATGTCAATAAACTGTTTCTGTGTACAGTGGTAGTATAAAGCACTTTGATATACTTCAGGACTGACGACATAAATTTCACAAATATCACTTGTAGAACAAGGTCTTACTATAAAATTTGTCAAAACAATGCAGCTGGCCACAGGAGGATTGTCCCACTAGAAGGGAAAACTTCTGGAACTGTGTCATTACCACAGTGATTTCTTTCATTGTCTATCTTTCACAGAAGACGAGTTTTCCTTCAGCCTTGTTATCTCCAATTTCTATCCTAACTGCTTGAAATTGTTGGCAAAAGTGCAGAACTGAACAGCCTGATTTGCTATCAGGGAACGGGACCAATGCATTCCCAGCCCAGCTCCATCGAGTGCAAAAGTCTTCCTTATCCACTGCCAAGAATCAGAGTCTCTGAGTTAAACAGATGCCACAATTACGTACGTTAGAAACTACTAGAAGGCTCAGGCATAGGACAGCTAAAAATAGAAACTAAAGATAGACAAAAGAAAATAACCTTTTTACGGAGAAATGCAATGATCAGAAAAACACCATCCTACAACCGAAGCAGAAGCCAATGTAATTAAGTTTTAATAACCCCTTCCTTACTGCACTCCCACTGCAGTAGCACGATGGTAGCCCCAAAAGAAACAGCTGCCCCAAAGACATACATACTTTAAGCAAACCTTGGACTAATAAACCTGATTTTTCAACTTCTGCAACTTAGCTGAAATAGAATATAAAAGAAAACAAAAAAGAAAAAGAGAAAAGAACAAAGCGGTAACTTTCTGATTTTTCCAAGTCTTGATTTAATTGCTACTGCTTTTCCAAAGGTTGTGGGAACAGTTCTCTCATTTTCACTGCTCCACTTTAAGTCGACCAAAAGGTGAACTTACTTGATGCATTATTTATTTATTTATTTATTTTTTAAAGACCTATGCAGGTATATTAAAGACTGGCAGAGATCAAGGGCCCTGCCTGAGAGTTAATATTCAGGATCAGATTCAGAATCCGCTTTATTGTGGAGCAATACTGTGGAAACACATGTATTGGTTTCCACTGACTTTGTGTTAACTGTTAACGAGAGAGATTCAGGGCACAACTGAGGAGAGGAAAGCCCAATGGCATTATTCTGACTTCACAGAGAAGAACCATCTCATTAGTATGACCATATTGGTATTAGGAACAGCTTGCAGGTTTCTAGCTTACATTACATCTTTAGGCAGGAATGTGGTTGAATGGATAAAGAAAAAATAGAAAGAACAGATAAAGAACTCTGAACAATCAAGTCGGGAGGGAAACAGGAAAGCACCAACAGTCTTCCCCTGACCCAGGTGACAATCGGGTTTACTTTAGTCAAAGACTGAGTGTCTACACAGAAAATGTTTTAGTGACCATGATGTTGCTGCTCCCACTAGTGACTCCATACCATACACCGAATAGTTAGGCCATCTAATCTCTCCGCCACCCAGTTTACAATATAACTACTTCAGAAGACCACTATATAGTGAAATTAATAACGATGCCTAATGACTATTGATATTCGCAGAACTTCTCTACCTACTGCTTTGATAGTGACCGTATCCAAAGCATGTCTGTGCTGCACTTAAAACTCTTCTGCGAATGTTGGTCTTGTCTACTGGGCTATTGAAATAAAAGTTGAAGAAAATCTGTGAAAATCTGTGGCGTCTGGCATCAACTAAGCAAAGAAAGATTGATGGATGAAATGAGGTGGCTACTAAAGGAATACGTTGGACAAAGTCATGGTTATCACCTATAGTAAAACTGCCTCCCAAATCTCTTGACAATGGAAAGAAATGGTTTCAAATTAAGTTAGTTAAGCACAGTGAAACACCAGAGACGTGGTAAATTTAATCTACTGGTGAGATCTGGAGATCAAGTCTACAAGCACTCATTTCCGTGAAAGAATGAATAACAGACAGTACGTGCCTTGGGATAGTAGAGCGTGAATGGGATAATGCTGTCGTCAGCTCCAAGGAAGACAAGTTTCAGAGCATGTAGACTCTGCGTAGTGAAACCTAGCACTGTAGCCCAAAGCGTCTGCACATAACAGTGCAGAGAGGAAAGTCGTTCTCAGGGGAAAGGTGTTACTGAATTAGAAGGTGCTATTTTATTTTTCAATCAGATCTTTACTCCAGTAAAACTCCTGACAAAGTAAATGAAATAAAATGATCAAGTGCAGTAGTCAAATGACATGCTAGCTTGGTAAGATTGTTTCACAAAGGAGCACCTAAATATCGTAAAACTGCAAAAACACTACAGTTATACTAAGCTTGCAGAATGATTTATACATTTTCTTCAAATGCATAACGTATACACAGTAACTGAACCAAGGTGAAACCATAGGGGCTCTCAGCAGCATAGTGAATTAAAGCACCAATAACAATCTATTGAATAATCGGTTCATCTTTCGCTTAAGTCCTGAGTGTAATTGTATTCAAGACCTTCTATGCTACAGCATCTGCTTTAGAGGTCTGGGACACAACACACCTACCTCCTGAAACTCTCATTAAAGCCTAGTCACATCCTGTTACACAGATGAACCATTCTTACTTTTTAATATTCACTTCAACTTATTTCACAGTTTGTTTTGTTCAAGGCTGCAGCATCATTCTGGGTTATGTTTAAGTTATTGGCATCATTCTTTCTGCACTACACAATGAAATTGTATGTATTTGGTAACAGAGTTCCTGGACTTGTACTTTCAGTATTTTCATCTCTGTCACAAGCAGATTTATTCCAAACCCCAATGAAGCTCACATAATGCACTTTTCTTCTAACAACAGATTTACTATGAATAATAATTACTGTGCTGTGGTACACAGAAGGAATCAAGTATACTTCTGCATTAACATGCAAATACTTAGGATTCGAGCCGTTTTGCCTCTAACAATTATATTATCAAAGAGCTTTTCCCTAGAGAAGGAAGCAAGAGCTGGTATAGCATCCATTTAGCCAGAGACCCTGACACCTTATTTACTTTGAAACTATTTGGATCATTTTGCAATGCTCTCCTTTCAAGATTAAGAAGAATTTGTGTCCCTTAGGTGAATATATTCTACCTTTGGCACCAATGCTTAAGGAGAGTCTCAGAACTGGAAGAGAGAGGGTGATGAATGCTGGTCAGGAACTGTGTGAAGGATTGGCCAGACAATGCGAGAAGCCTTCCTCCCTGCATGCCAAGTGCTGTGTCTGGCCCTAGGGAGGAGTTTGGGAGTTCAACTGTTAAAATTGAAGGTATGAATGATGCAAGAAATCAGAAGTGGCAAAAAAAAAGTACTGCAAAGTCAGAACTGATTTTAACTGCTAAACTGTACTTTATTGAGAAGATTTGGTTACTGGGTCTATTTCATTGCCCCAGCCAGACCTACCCTGGGGCTTAAGTCTCAATCTCTTCTGTATGGCAGCTTTTGATCGCTTTACTTTCCTCCTGTCATGACCTAGCCCTCAGCCCTGGCCACAGCTCACCTTTCTCTGCATAGAGCCCTTCTAACTCATGGCCCCACTTCTGTCTTCAAGAGAAAGCAGCTACTTCAGTTGCCTGCCCTGAGGCACTGTCAGACAGCTGCCTCCTTAGCCGTGCACCTCCACTGTTCAAACTCTGGAAGAATTTCAGGCAGCTCAGGGGTTTGGACTATCTCAGACCTGCCAAACTAGTTAACATACAATTAAATCACACAGTGTTGGGACGAGTGAAATCAGGCCAAGATTGCTCGCACAGGAAGAAAAGAGGATAATATAGGGTGAATGGTAAGGAGGTGAGGGGTTATGGGACAGTAAGAAGACTACGGCAGACGTGGAAGGAGAATTTGTGACTCAGCCCATCTACATAGCTCTCACACATTCCCAGCCCCACCTCTAAGGCTGCAAATCTCCCATTGCTCAGGATACAATCTAAAAACTTGACTCTATTTGCTAATGAATTTCTCCCAATCCAGACTCAACTTCCATCATCACATGGATGTTTTTCTTACCCATGCCACCTCCCTAGCTATGAGATATTTTTCCCTTTATTATTTTTCCTTTTACAGTGTTCAGAAAGGCAACCAGGTTTAAAAGCCTTACACTTCTAATGTTGTAGCAGTTTTCAAATGACATTCAAAGCAAAACAATCTCAATGCGTGTGTGTGTAGAACCAGCATTTGGAAACAATCAGCACCATTGTAACACTTTCATTTGTTTTTAGGGAATGAAGTTTATGCAGAACAATATAGACCTCATTCTTAGCACAAATTACCTTAGCTGTTTGACTGAGGATTTCTTCTACATTCAAGAATGAAACTAAATCTAACTGTCAGCTGATCTGTTGAATAAAGTGGAGACTCACATTTTCAGGATAGAGATCCTGTTCTATTATTAGAGTCCATCATGCAGTACTAATGCTTAAAGTGCTAGAATCATTAACCTCGAGTTGTTTGTCTTCTGTAACAAAGCCACAAACACTAATTCATAGAAGATGTTGTGGGATGAAACAGGTGCTGTGGTTTCATAAAAACTCAACAAAACTCTAGGGGTTGAAGGGTGCATTGCTTCCTAAACTCTGTGGCAAAGGGCATGAAGGTGGCTGGATACTTTTGCCAATATCAAACTGCGAACTTCTGTAGGAGATGCTGTGGTATGAATATGTACATAGAAAACATCTATTAATTGCTCACCTTTTCTTCATTATGAGCACAACCCCCAGAAATATAATGACGAACAGCAAGATGCCTGCAATGACTCCAGCAATTTTAACAGTATGGTCAGTCTGCTTCTCAGGCTCTGGGTCTGGTTTTCGAGTGGCAGCCCCTATGGAATCAGTAAAAGGAAAAGAGGAGAGAGAAAAAGAATAAGGATGTTATTCTTTCAGTGTGTATACGTTTAACCTACCAATGTCATTGGGCTTATCCAGGACGCACTGATATCAATGCTTGATCTTTTTTTAAAAGAAAAATCCTGCTTTCATATGCATTGACAGGAGTATAGTTCTTCATATTGTTCCATGACATTTTGCTAGATGACAACACAGGTGGGATACCACAGTCAGTCTTGACCCTTTTATAAGAGTCTCTTCACAGATTCACAGATTTTTATATTTTTATTATCTGTGCTGTCTCCCTTTTCTTTCTGCCATTTAGAAACTTGCTAACAATACAATAACTATCCTAAGCCTTTATCCAAATTTGATTTGCTGGAACATTTTCCTCAATTATTTTTCATAAATGAAGCTGTAATTCCATAACATATTAGCTTAAACACCTGGAAAAGTGAGATAAGCTCATTTACCATGCATTTTATCCGCAATTGTTTTTTACACAATAGAGGTTTTTTTTTTTTGCCTTTGGAAATCTAAATCTAGGTCACATCTGGTAGGCAAAAAGACTCCTTCTAAGCAATTTATTCACAAAGTGGGAAGCAGCTGATGATCACACCACTGGCACCCACATTTAATATCTGTTTAAATGAGATAACCGGTGCCTTACAGCAGCTACTGTCTTAGCTCTTCCAGCTTCTCCATTTTAAAAAAATAACATCGTTTGTACTGTTTACTGTATAATGTGATAGAATGTCAAATCCATGTCTGATGAAATATCCATTTCCTCTACTAAATGAGTTCAGGATGAAAAATGTTAAAGAAGCAACATTCAATTCTCTAAACTGATTTTATTTTTTTTATGGACTTCCTTTTTTTTTTTTTTTTTTAATCAAACCGTGACAGCATTCATCATTTGAGGTACCATGCCATAAAGTGGACACAGGGATTTATGGATCACTTTCCTGCTATAGCTTTTTTGGGAAGGGAGAAGGAAGAGTAAAGCCTAAGTGAAGTGTAATATTTTAAGGCCACACTCTTATATCACTGTCTGGGTTTCACAGAGGATTTTGAAAGCACCAATTATATTTTATGTGTTTCTTCACTTCCTTTTTTTGCAAAGAAAGCAAATTGGTGATCAATTTACATGCCAAGATACTTTCTGAAAAGTACAATGAAAACATTTCCATGTTTCTTCTCAGTTGCAACCAGGATATTCTAAGAGGGTGAGTACTTCTGAGCACCCACAGTGACAATTTTGGGCTACATCCTCAAAACTCCTTACCACCAAGAATGCCAGAAAAACTTGGCAATTCTTACTGCTGCCAGTAAAGGTGCTAACGTTTAATCAAAATATATCTATAGCTAATTGCAGGAAGCAGGTTCTTCGGAAAATTCTGGCCATGGTACTCTGTGTGAGTGCTAAGTCAGAGAAGATGATGTGCTGCCTATCTCAGAGCCCAGTCCAACCTGAATATTAGCTTGATAGCAATACACTGCAATTCCAAATTAATAAAATCTTAGTCCTTATAAGTAAAGGTAACAGAATCTGATTCTGGATTTTCCTCAAAGCAGATGCATAAAATTCTGTTATAAACAGTTCTATTTTTATTTTCCTTGTGTCATATATAAATAATTTTGTTAAACTCTATATTGCTCTAATCCGAATGGCACTCAAAAGTGTAGCAGATATTTAGAAGACATCTAGAGTATTTTTATGCGAAAGGCAGCTGTTGAGTTGAACTTGGCAAACAGGAAGCAGTTAATCAAGAATGATGCAAATAGTAAGACAAGGACTTCACAGTCGTCTTTTAAATCTAAAACCCAAGAAAGAAAGAATTGCAGCATCAAGAACGAGTAATATCTTTTCAGATGTAATTTCTAAGAACAGTTCCTTCCAAAGTCTGTTCTTCATTATCTCATTCAGGCTACCTCACCCTACTGGAATACACATTGGTAATGCCTTTTTAAAATGAAATCCTGCCTTATGGTTTCATTCTTTTCGTTAAGACTTCCAGTGCTAGTTTTGGGATCATGAATAGTACACACTAAAAATAGGTGAAGGTAGCCTTGCTACATTTTCACATACAACTCTCAACTATCCAATGTGTTTTATCTCAGTGTCATGTCTCTTTGACAGCACAAAGTCCTCACTTCAGTGGAACTAGCTAGACATACACTATGCAGGAGATAATATCAAAATCATATACAGAGCATACACATTTTCTGCATATCACAGAGCATAACTTTAATCAAATGCCTTCAATGACAAAAAGCATTACTCTCTGGGGAGTCATGGACAAGCTGGCGAATCCACCACTATTGCAAATTCTCCAAAGAAAGCCTACACAAGGAGAGATACAGAGCCTAACATCAGGACACTGAAACTCCCATATTGCATCATCTATTGATTATCCAATTGAGGGATCATCTCAAATTGCCTAAGAAAAGTGCATGTAATGCCACCCCGAGTTAAATACAGAATAAAGCTTCCCACCATGATAGACTCAGCCTGACTCGTAATAGAAATTGTATTAAACTGGAAACATGATGTTTGACATGCCTTTTAAAAACTCCTAACATTAATTATTATATAAAAAAAAATATTGGCATTGTCTCAATTCTTCTTTAGTTTCATTCAGCATCTCGTTCATTCCCTGAGAGAATGTTGCTCTTTTCTTGGTGTCAGCAGGTTCCAAAACCCACTTGAGTAAAAGGATCAAATTTGCCACCTTTCACCTTTCTTGAGCATCCTTCGAGTCTTTTAGTATCAGAAATTCTGGATCATCTTTCTTCATTTTATTTAATACTGTTTATTCTTTTAACATACCTCAGTTTTTCTACAACAGAATTTTAAAAAATTGTTTTGTTCTACCCCATTCTTTATCCCCCTTAGCATTCTGTTTTTATTTCGACATCAGATGGACACTGAACAGGTCATCGGCGCATTGTTTACAGTGAAACCTGCATCCTTTTCTTCAGTGCAGTGTTCAATTTCGAATCCTTTATGAGTTAAAAGTAATTCAAACTTACCTCTACTGAATGCTACCTAGCATTTATCAAGACTGAGTTGGTACTACCTCTTTACTCAGTTTGCTTTTGTCCTGC